TGTCATGACCCCCCAGCCTCTGCCCCAGCCCTTGCCTGTCTCCCTCTTTTTCTCCCTCTCTTCTCCCTCCTCTGTTTCTGTCTCTGTCTGTCTGTCTCTCTCCCTCATTCTCTCTCTCTACCTCTCAGCCCTCAATCAAGGACAATCATTCACAGCTGCAACTCCGGACTCACCTGCTCACCATCACCACAGCTCCTATAAAGACTCTGTTCATTCCACCACACCCTGCCAGACCAGAGCCATTCCTCCTGCATGCTTCTGCCAGTCCCTGCTCTGTCTCCAGCCCTACATCCCCCTAGCCAGCTTTCTCCACTGGTTCCACCCTGGATTCCCTGAGCCTGTCTGCCCCTCTGTTTTTTGTCCCCTTTTGCGAGTATCCCCGTTTGTATAAGTAGCTTTGTTTTTTTATCCTAGAATTTGTTAGTTTTTTTCCTGTCTGTTGTTTGTTTGGAGTTTCTTTTAGGTTTTTCTAGTTTTGCCCCCTTCGTAATTCAGTTTGGTTTTCCTGTTCTGTTTTCCTGCCTCAGTTTAGTTTCTGCACCTCAGTTTAAATTCAGTTTTTATCCTTGTTTAATAAATCTTTGTGTACACCTTGCCTGCCTGCCTGCCTGACTGCCTGATTTCATTTTTTTTTTTTGTAGATGTGTACACAATACCAAATTACTATCTAAATTTATTGTGGTCAACTATTCAGCAGACGTGTGGCAAAATTAGCATTCATTTTAAATTATGTTCCTGTAACATTTATCATTATCTCGCTTTTGGTCTCCACTAAGTCCTGATTAAAATATGTAGTTCTTTAGCTGCTAAAAGCTGAGTTTCGTAACAGGCAGCTGGTAAAGAGGTTCATCAGAGCTTTTTCAGAGTTCCTCCAGTACCTGGAAACTGGTTTGAAGAGGAAGACTAGACTTAGCCAAAACACTAAAGTGATTGGCTGTCAATTTTATTTATTTATTTTTTAAAAAGGACTGAAGGTGTTAAAAAGCTAAGCAGCGATTAGGCGGGACTATAAGGCGATAATTAACCGTGGGTTCGTCAATACCAGCTACCCCTTTTCACATAAAAGATAATGAATGAACCGACTGGGTATTTTAAATATTGATCAGTGCAGCTTTAAACATTTACTGGGGCTGCTGGTCAGGTGACTGCAGCAAGTGAATTGCATAAAGAATGTTGCAGCTGCAATGTTGTTCTTGATGTCTGTTTGAGTTGAATAAAATTCATATCATGGCCGTAGCGATTCCACACCAACATAATGTATTGGGTATAAAACACCTGATTACTAAAACCAATAAGTACTCAGTTAAAGTAATTATAGTCAGCAATTAGGTTTGTCTAAAGATGCATTAAAGACTCTGATGTTTCTGAACAGAAAGGACTTAAAGTAATTTGGGAACAGGTTCACTGTTTAGGTTGAATTGTTGAAAGTGAATTAGGAGCTTTGTGTCTCCTGGTGGATCTTAATGAATGTCGGGTTTGCACTCATCTGTTGCTCATTGGGCTTCTTGGATGAAGGCCAGCACTGCTGCAGACACGCTCAGAAGGAAGCAGTTAGAAATAAGTTTCCTTGTTTAAGGAAACTGCAAAAGGGAAGGAAATGTGTCAGAAATCTTAAATTTTCATACCATAGTTAGTGAGGTGGACCAACCAGATGCACTTAGATGCTCTGACATCTAGAAACAATTGAGTCTTTGCTATATTTAGTCCTAATCTGTGAAACTGTTTTCCTCTAAATGTGAGAACTTTACACTTAAAAGAAAAAGTCACTGCGCTTCTCTTTGGCTTGATGCCCTGACTTCATCTTTTACTAAACGGTATCTTTTTCTTTTTTTTTGTGATTTTTTAAAAAAAAAAAATCAGATTTGCCGCGTGTTCATATTTATTATTGTTCAGCACTGTGGTTTAACTGATTGTTTTAAATGGGTCACTCCATCTTAAATCATATTTTTAGAACACTTTCTGCTTGACTGTCTCTG